AACAGTAGGAAAAGCAGTACTGGGATACAATCTCCAAAATGACAGAATGATCTCAGTTCGAATCCAAGGCAAACCATTCAACATCACAGTAGTCCAAGTCTGTGCCCCAACCACTGGTGCTGAAGAGGCTGAAGTTGAGTGGTTCTATGAAGGCCTACAACACCTTCTAGAAGTAACACCCAAAATTGATGTCCTTATCATCATGGGGGATTGGAATGTTAAAGTAGGAAGCCAAAAGATAACTGGAATAACAGACAAGTTTGGCCTTGGAGTTCAAAATGAAGCAGGGCACAGGCTGGTAGAATTTTGTCAAGAGAATACAATGGTCATAGCAAGCACTCTTTTCCAACAACCCAAGAGACAACTCTACACATGGACATCACCAGACGGTCAACACAGAAATCAGATTGACTATGTGCTCTGCAGCCAAAGATGGAGAAGCTCTATACAGTCTGTAAAAACTAGACCAGGAGCTGACTGTGGCTCAGATCATGAGCTTCTGGTTGCAAAATTTAGGCTTAAGTTGAAGAAAGTAGGGAAAAGCACTAGGCCACTCAGGTATGACCTAAATCATATTCCTGATGAATATTCAGTAGAGGTGACAAATAGATTTAAGGAATTAGATCTGATAGACAGAGTACCTGAAGAACTATGGAAGGAGGTTCGCAACACTGTACAAGAGGTAGCAACTAAAACCATCTCAAAGAAAAAGAAATGCAAGAAAGCAAAATGGCTGTCCGAGGAAGCTTTACAAATAGCTGAGGAAAGAAGGGAAGCGAAAGGCAAGAGAGAAAAGGAAAGATATACCCAACTGAATGCAGAATTCCAGAGAATAGCTAGAACAGATAAGAAGGCCTTCTTAAATGAACAGTGCAAAGAAATAGAAGAAAACAATAGTTTAGGGAGGAGCAGAGATCTCTTCAAGAAAGTTGGAGATATGAAGGGAAGGTTTCATGCAAAGATGGGCACAATAAAGGACCAAAATGGCAGGGACCTAACAGAGGCAGAAAAGATTAAGAAGAGGTGGCAAGATTACACAGAAGAACTATACAAGAAAGAGCTTAACGTTCCTGATAACCACGATGACCTCGAGCCAGACATCCTGGAATGTGAAGTCAAATGGGCCTTAGAGGGTCTGAGCAACAACAAAGCTAGTGGAGGCGACAGTATTCCAGCTGAGCTATTCAAAATCTTAAAAGACGATGCAGTTAAAGTGCTACACTCAATATGCCAGAAAATTGGAAAACTCAACAGTGGCCACAGGATTGGAAAAGGTCAGTTTACATTCCGAGCCCAAAGAAAGGCAATGCCAAAGAATGTTCAAACTACCGCACCATTGCACTCATTTCACATGCTAGCAAAGTTGTGCTCAAAATCCTACAAGCTAGGCTCCAGCAGTATGTGGACCAAGAACTACCAGAAGTACAGGCAGGATTTCAAAGAGGGAGAGGAACTAGAGATCAAATTGCCAACATATGCTGGATCATGGAGAAAGCTAGGGAGTTCCAGAAAAACATCTACTTCTGCTTCATTGACCATGCTAAAGCCTTTGATTGTGTGAATCACAACAAATTGTGGCAAGCTCTTAAAGAGATGGGAGTACCAGACCATCTTATTTGTCTCTTGAGAAACCTATATGCGGGTCAAGAAGCAACAGTGAGAACTGGGCACAGAACCACTGCTTGGCTCAAAATTGAGAAAGGAGTTCGGCAAGGCTGTATACTGTCGTCCTGTCTATTTAACTGATATGCAGAGCACATCATGAGAAAGACGGGCCTAGATGAATCACCAGTTGGAATTAAGATTGCTGGGAGAAATATCAACAACCTCAGATATGCAGATGATACCACTCTCATGGCAGAAAGTGAGGAAGAACTAAAGAGCCTCTTGATGCAGGTGAAGGAGGTGAGCGAAAAAGTTGGCTTGAAACTCAACATTAAGAAAACTAAGATCATGGCATCCGGTCCTCTCACTTCCTGGCAAATAGATGGGGAAGAAATGGAGGCAGTGACAGATTTTATTTTCCTGGGCTCCAAGATCACCACAGACGGGGACTGCAGCCAAGAAATTAAAAGAGGTTTGCTCCTGGGGAGGAAAGCTATGGCAAATCTAGACAGCATACTAAAAACCAGAAACATCACCTTGCCAACAAAAGTGCATATAGTCAAGGCTATGTTTTTCCCAGTTGCAATGTATGGCTGTGAAAGCTGGACCATAAAGAAGGCTGAGCGCAAAAGGAATGAGACCTTTGAATTGTGGTGCTGGAGGAGACTCCTGCGAGCCTCTTGGATCACAAGGTGATCAAACTGGTCAGTCCTAGAGGAGATCAACCCTGACTGCTCTTTAGAAGGCCAGATGCTGAAGATGAAACTCAAATACTTTGGCCACCTAATGAGAAGGAAGGACTCACCAGAGAAGAGTCTAATGCTGGGAACAATAGATGGCAAAAGAAGAAGTGGATGGCAGAGGATGAGGTGGCTGGATGGAGTCACTGAGGCAGTTGGTGTGAGCTTGAGTGGACTCCGGAAGATGGTGGAGGACAGGAAGGCCTGAAGGAGTGTTGTCCATGGGGTCGCGATGGGTCAGACATGACTTCACAACTAACAACAACGACAACAAAGGAGTGTACTGGTTAAGATGGTGCAAATACTTGGAAGTGAAACGTTCATACTGCTTTATGTGAACACTGGCAGGTGGACAAACATAGCACATGAAACTTACCTCCTCTAGACTGAGCTGCAAATACTCAAAAATCCTAAATGGGTTTCTTCTGCATACTAGCTTTTCCATTTTTATTAGCTACAAAAAAGTACCAAGCTAAAGTTACAAAGATGCAATCGAAACATTAGTCTTATTTACTTAGTGCTGGCCAAGGACATGCCAGCACAATGCACTTCATTCCCCCTCTCTCCTAAAAGGCCCTTTGGGCCCTCTCGCCACCTCACGCCCGAGATCTCCCCTGTCTCCGCTCGGGATGCTTCCACCTGGCACCACTGGCTAAGCTCCTCTGACGCCACAGCGGGTTCTGGCTCTCCAAAGGTTAGCTGCGTCTAGGCTACTGGGTGCCTCGAGCAAGTCAGGGCCAGACAACCGGCTGCTCAGAGGATCTAGGGAGACCTTAGGAATGAAATGCCAGGATTCACACGTCATCCTTGTCGTCCCTGTCATTATATTACGTTTATAGCCCACCTTTCCTCCTCTTACGAGGACCCCAGGGCAGCTTACCATGATCTTTCCTCCACTGTATTCTCACCACAACACCCCTGTGAGGGAGGTTAGGATGGGAATCCCCAGCTGTTCCAGTGAGCCTCATGGCCAATTGGAGACTCGGACCCAGACCTCCCGAGTCCCAGTCCAAACGATAATTTGCTGATACATATCAGCTGACCTGTTTTAAGAGACTCTCAATAAATATGAAAGGAGGGAGTGACTCCTGGTGTTTATGCCTATTAAAAGGCAACAATGCCCATCTTAATCATTTGTTTAGTCAATCAAGATGACATCATCACGGCCCCGCAAAACCCAAGCTAATTTGCAGCCTTACATGTGATTTCTCACTTGCCGCTGCTTCTTCGAGGCACAAATCTGATTCTGATTCTTCTTCCTGGATTAATACATACTCATGATCATATTCCTTATCAATCAAAAGGTGAGATTCTTGTGTAACATAACAGTCTTCCTTGAAACCGTGATGCACGCTGATTGGATGCTGCTCTGTCAAGAGGGTTTTAGCTGCAGCTTTAGAGTCAGTTATATCTGATTTTTTAGAGTCACAGTAACTGAGTGGATCGGAAGGTGAACCGAGTGGATCCAGGCAGGTGACTTGACCCCCATTTGTTTCAGAAGACGACACTGCAAGCTTTGGATCCTCTTCAACATTCTTCACTTCTGGAAGGTCTTCACCCTGAGGCTCATTATTTTGTTCAGTATCTCCTCTCAGAAGAAGCGGCTTAGTATAATTTAGAATGACTTTATTAATTGTGTAGTCATCCAGTCCTTGCTCCTGCATAAGGCTTTTAGCCCATTCAACATGACACTGGTATCTGGGATAAAAGGAAGTTGGGAAACTAAAGAGTCAACACACAGACCATGCTCCAACAATTTACACAGTGATATACATTCTCCTGCAGCATCGCATCTATATGCCCAGTCTTTGCTCAGGATCACTGGGATCCCAGATCTGAGGTGGGAAAACAGCTCCAACTTTGCAGTGCCCCCCCCCCCCCGCCCGCCCTGCAGCCAGCGTGCAGAGAACTGTGCTGTCTGCTCCTGCGAGGTCAGAACAGCAACCTCTGAGAAGGGTTAGGGGAGGGCAGGAGATCAGCATCAGCAAAGAATGATGCATCCTGGGAGCACCTCAGCCTACGCCCCCCCACAAAGTACCGGACTTAGACAGCTGAAAGGGGTGACCATCATCTCTGCACTCCTCTCCATCATCTGAGTCTGGAGGGTTATGAACTGCCTCAGTGGATAGCACCCATTGTGAATTACCTTGCTATGGATTTATATAATGCAACTATGGAAACATTTCACTATTACTTTTGATATTGAAGAATACATGAAGCTTATAAGCAGCAAGTTTTATTATTGTAACAGCGACTGCAGCTGACTTTGTTTTAATCATGTATTTATTATTTCTTCAACATTCAATTTAATATTTTAATAAATATGTTATAATGTTATTTTATAAAATAAAATTTTATAAAAATATTTTAATGTATTTAAAATAGCAATTTTAATACTTATGGAACTCAATTAGATATAGAACCCAGCTCTAAGATAATATTTTGTTTTTCCTGAATAGGCCAAGATACCGTTTGAAATACTGAAGTAATTATTTCTTAAAGATTATAAATACTTATTACATAGTAGTTACATTATTGATTAATAAACTAGTTTCAGTTCAAGTGTCAGACTGATTGTGAGAGCTGCACTTACTTTTTCGATGAGATGATAGGCATGTTTAACCTGGCACCTGCAATTTAAAAAAAAAATGGTTTTCTTTAGTCCTAAATACTCTAAGCACCCAACATTTAAAGAGATAGTATGAAACTAATACAACTGTAGCACTGTAAGAGCACAATCCTATGCAGGTTTAAATGGGAAAGAAGTCCAACAACTCTCACCCTCCTTCCAGCTGATCATGCCAGCTAAGACTTGTACGACATTTTCCAGCAAGGCATGCATAGGATTGCACCCTAAAAGTCTTTTATGGCATTCCAATAGCTTTGTGGATACATCTGGAAATCTATATTTTTCTCCCCATCTGCTTGGCCACTCTCCTGGGAAAGAGCTCAAAGAGGTTGCAGCAATAGCGCACATTGCAAATGCCATTTCCTCACCCCTTAAAGTTTAAGGAGAACCGAAAGAAAACAAGGGCACAGACGTGTGACCATCCCGCTGTGACCAGTGTGCACATTTTATGTCTCTTTTTCATTACCAGACTGCTTTACCTTGCCACTTGGCAAACAACACAGGATCTGAAATACTGTATTCTGGGTGACTTCTTGAAAGAATACCTTTCCCAAAAAATCCCTAGAAAAGACAAGACCGTGTTAGTTCAATTTGTGGTATCCGAATTCTGAAATTTTCAGAGGTACATACAACTGCCTTCGCAGGTATACCTTTGCTAGTTTTAACATTATCTGCTTGGCCACATAGTGATACTTCTCTAACATGGCCAATAAATACAAGTTCTTTGAACAGAGACGTATTCCAATGCTGAGTACAAGTTACTCCCATGTTCCCAATACACGTTGCCTTCTCTTCTGCTTCCCAACTTGCCATGGAGGCTCACAGGCCTCTAGATAGCTCCCACATTTCTTGTCAAGGATGAGAAAGCTTATCACTTCTTCCTGCTGTCTATATTTTTGGAGGGCATTCAACAGGCAAGAAATCCAAATTATCTTCTTCAGGGATGCAGCTACCCTGCTTTCTCAGACAAGATGGAGCTCAATAGCCCCATTCTCTGGACTAGGAGAATAATGTAACAGAATGACAATTAAAAACATGTGCAAAGGCACCTATGATAAAACTCATGAAAATGCATGGCACAAAAATGAAAGGAATAAACTAACCCAAAAGTGTTTTTCTGCCACCCTCACACTGAGGGCAGATGCAGAAGCCTGTAAGGAAAATGGAGGTACACCCACTAACCAAGGTGGCTGGAATGCCCCCCAGAAGACACAGAAAACAGAAATTTGCAGCAACACCCCTTTCTCTGGTATCTTCTAGAGGACATTCATTTGGGATGTCCAAATGTAGTCCCTTCTGGACTGGATAAATAGCGCACCAATCAGTGCACATGCGACCTCTGTAGAACCCACCTACAAGGGCAGCATCTACCAATGAGAAAACATCCATGATATGATGCTTAGCAAAGGGATACAAGGAAGCCAAGGAGGCCCATTGCACCTGTCTTCTATCAAGTGGATTCCCACTCTGAAGAGTGAGCCACATTCTCTGAAGGGGAAGACCTTCCAGAGATTGTTAAGCCAAGGAAATTGCACAAAAAGATAACTTCCTGTCCAGGGAAGTACTCTGATGGATAACAAACAAAACTTCTATTCAGGTAGAAACAAAGGGCTCTACATTCATCCAATTTATGCCAAGTCTCTTCCTGGGGATGGAGTGGCTTAAGGTGAAATAAATTATTTTAAGAAAACAAGTGACCAAGAACTCAAGAAAAAACCCCTAATGGCCTTGAACATCCAATTTAAATTCCACATTGAAATCTATGAACCACAGGATTATAAAGTCCTGCCCTCCCACCCTCAAAAACCTCTTCCATGGGGTGACTAGCAAAGGCCTGTTGCTGCCCAAGATACTATTCAGGGGTGGAACCTGGAGCTTGAGGGTGCTGCTAGGCTCTTTGGAGATCTGCTCAGAGAAATTTCAGGACCTGGCAGGTCATTCCCCTGCAGCACTCTACTAGCCTTATGGCTTCAGGAAAGGAAAACCTTCCAGGCGCAGTTGCAGAGAAGCCAGAAGTGTTCAGAACTTCTTGAGTAGCTGAAGCAGTGAAGCCACTGCCACACAGCATTTCAGAAGGCAGCCAGAACATTCCTGAGAGAAATGGGAGGCAATGGAGCCTTGGGCCCCTTGGAGAAGACAGGAGAAAATCTGATATTTGGCCTTGCTTGCATTAATCCCTGCCTTCACTGCATCAGGCTCTTTCCTTCCATACCACCTAGCAGAGGCCCTCCAGATGGCTCCATAGATTCTGTTTGCAGAGGCTCTGCAAGAAGCTAGGAAAAGATCTCTGATGCTCCTTCCACTACAGACTTCAACCATTGGAAAATGAGGCATAGAGCCAAAGCCAGACCTGATCTGCATGTGGAGAAGCTCTCAGGCACACGAGTCCCATGACACCAGGAGTGGAGGCTGCTCTATAGCTAGCACCTCTAGGCCCTAGTATGAAGCCATACCTGGCCTGACTCTTCTTTTCCCCCGTATACATCTTATGATGCACCCCTGAATGAGACAGTGAACAGCAAAGCCTCTCAGCCTTCTCCGGATAGAAGACTGTGCCCTGAATTTCCTAGGCCATAATCTGTTCGACCAAAGAAAGGCAGGCCTGATCCCTAATCAGACCACCAAGGTAATCCACCAGGTAGAAGAGCACCGCCAACAGAGTCTCCCCTGCTGGAGCCTTCAGTGGGTCTGCCAATCACTGCAAGATAGCCTGGGAGAAGACTTCCTTAGCAGTGCTGCTTCTGCCTCTCATTCCCCATGGCCTCTGCTGCTCCCACTGCATGAACAGCTGGTGGCGTTCGAGGTAGCCTGCTTGGTTCCTACAAAAGGACAGGATGAAAACTGATGTGAGGAGTGGCAATGAGCAAAACTTGCTTCCCCAGCTGGGTGGGGTGCTGCTCCCTGTGGCATCCTGTGCCCATCTATCCTGCTCCATCAACGTGGAGCACCAAAATGACAAAGCCCAGCAGCACAGCCACTATGCAGTTTGGCAGAGCAGGAGCTCCTAGATGCAGCTGCACCGAAGGTGAGGTCAAGGCCCGACATCCCAGTTTAACCCAGGTAGGGAGCGCTTGAGGCATACCTGGGACATGCAGCACTCTGGGCTTGGAGACTTCCTGGCCAGGGAGGGTGCCATAGCTCCCGATGTTTACCCTGGTGACAGTCTCAGACAGTGCCCTACTGTAGCTGGTGACTGAGGGGTACCTTTCCTCTGAATATAACACTGCAGCACCCAAGGGTGTTCCTTCTAGTAAAGCCCAATCTCAGTTCCTAACAGAATACGTTTGGGAAAAGGAAAGGGATCTGTGTAGCCTCCATGAAACATCAAGCCCAGCTGAGTACACAGAAGTATAAACCTGCCTGATCTACCACAACCCTCTAAATTATTCAAAATAGGAGCATTTACTGTTTTTGACTGCTATAAAGCCATTTCCGATAGGCACATCCTTTTAAAGTGGTTGACAATAATCTGATCTGCAGCAACATTGTGTCAGCATCCATGGTGGATCTTTTAAGTGTGAGATTTTATGCATTAGACAACGCAGTCAAAAATACCTTGCTATATAGCTCTTTGATATCTTCAGGATTCTTCACAATTACATTATTATTTATAATTTCAGCCTGACATATTTTGTAAACTTTTCCATGAATGCCTTCCTTGGAAGAAGAAATAGGGAAAGGAGAATCGTACGATTCATACACTCTTCTCTTCCTTCTTGGTGGATGGAAAACTGCTTCTGCCATTTGGTATTATCCTTCAGCTTTAGCAATGGTATCTAAGGGCAAACAGCAAAGAGAGCAAAACTTGAAATATTTTAAAGCCAGCCATTTTTTAGGTATGATCCATAAATCACTCAAGCCCATGCTTTTTTTCTTGAACTGGTTAGGCCTATTGATTTTGGTGAAACAAAAGCAAAAGAAAGCCAATAGAAATGGTTTGTGGAATGTACGCACCAGTGTTCTGATTTTCAAAGATTTGTAGAGTCACTCATGTCTGTTGAGTAACTCGGGCACACAAAGAAAGCAATGAAAGAATCCTGCTCTTCTCCTGCTTCCGGTCTATCGACCTAGATAACTGCAAGAGTACTGGGTTTCAAGTGCCCACGACCATGACCCAATATAAAATGGCACTGTGTGTTCAGATGCGCAGAACCGATCCGTTTCCTTTTGAAGGCGTGTGCTGAAAACTCCTCTGCCTATCCATTTAAATGGCGACCCCCAATAACAGAACCAGAACTTTGATGCAAATTAATGATCCCCCTTCTCCCATCCCAAGTATTTGGGCTTCTCCCTTTCCACAGCCGTCTGTCCAGAAAGGCAGTGAGCGGCAGCAGAGATGCTCCGCACAAGCTTCTGCTCTCTCACACAACCCTTGGCCGAAGGAGAAGAACACGCTCCCGCTGTCCAGCCCCCGGAATCATCTCCCGAGGATCGAAGCACGCACTCGACTGCCTTCTCCTCTTCTCTCCTCCGCAAAGAAAGCATGCAAAGCCTCCGGCGCAGGGCTTAATCCGAGCAGCGACAATGAGCGCACGCTCCCGCCCCTGACGCATGGCAAAGCCGGAAAAAGGGCTCCTTTGTCCCCACAGCGGCGACGGAAGAAGGAAGCTGGCAAAGCGGTTCTCTTAAAGGTAATGCTCAAGTCTTCCGGTTTTGACTCGCAGCTCCCTGATGCGGGGCAAGAGTAGTGGAAACTCGTAGCCGTAACGGCCAAGGTTGAGCTGAAAGAGGCAGTGTTCAGGCTGCAGTCCTGCGCTCATGCAGCCCTTGCTTCAGCTTCTATTTTTCTAAAGCTCTTCATTAAAGACTTGGGGTTAAAATTCCTAGCATTATTGGCCTTTTTCTGTTGCACCCTTAGAAATCAAGCAAGTACACCTTCCATCATAGTATCTTTATCTGCTGTTTTGGGTTTTTTTTTTTTTTTTGAGTAGGGGAGAGCATTATTATGTCAATGCACTGCAATAAAGGTAACCTGCCCCATATTATATTTGTGCAGGTTTTACCCCTATTACTCTGTATTTCCTCTAGAAGTATCTACCCACTGCGATGAAGAACCGTATATCACTAAAAAGAACCATTAAGACTGTGGCCCTTTGCTTGCCCTTTGAGCTCTCCGCATAGTGCGGACTGAAAATCCGCCAGCCAATCGACAGCCGGACTTCAAAGACTACGTAATCTCAAGGAGAACAAAACGAGACAGCCACTCTGTCACACTGCGAAGTCTTGACGCAAGCGTTGTGATTTCTTAGTCCCTCCCATACAATCTTACTGGGAATTTTAAACCAGGGGTTACCTCCTTCCGTAGGCAGGTTGATAGAGCTGACCGTGTAGCCGGGTTTTGAACGCTTATCCTGCAATCTTTCGCACTCGTACCTACAATTCCACTGACTTCCATGCACTTCCTTCCGAGTAGACACGTGCAGTTAACAACAGTTGAACACAGTTGGTGAGGACAGAGCATTTTAGAGGGCATTTCGTAGGGTTGCCTTAAGTCGGAGACGCCTTGACAACACATAGCAGCAAGACACGTGTAAAATTGTAAGTCACGTGTAAGTTCTGCCCAGAACCTGATAGTCCTCGGATTTCGCTTAGAAAAAAGGCGAGTAAGAGGAGACATGATAAAGGTGTTTAAAATAATGGTGTGGAGAAAGCAGAGAGGGAGAACCCTGGGGTCATCTCAGTAAGCTGATAGGTGGAAGGTTTAGGATAAGTCAGTGGAAGTACTTCTTCACACGCCCTATAATTAAACTATGGGGTTCGCTGCGACTGCCACCAATTTGGATGGCTTTCATGGAGGAAGAGGCTACCAATCGCTACTAGCCTTGGCGGCTTTGTGCTGCCTCCTTTACTAGAAGGAGCGTGCCTGCACTCTGAACTTGCTGAGGAGCTCGGGCAGGCGGAGGTCTTGCACCCATCCTGCCTGAGCGATCCTGTGGGCAGCTGGTTTGCCACCGTGTGCATGAAGTGCTGTACTAGATGGACCTTGGGTCAGACCCAGCAGGGCTTTTCTTGGACATACGCGCCACGGAGCTCGGAGGGGTTTTCTCCCACGTGAGCGCACGAACTGGCTTGAGGCCTCAGGGGCGCCCAGTTCGATGCCCTATTTCGTGCCAGTAGCAACGGGTTCCTTTCCTCCCCTTTTTTCCATGTTGAAAGCGGCTCCTCCAGCCCAAGCAAGGGACGGAGCTCCACCATTATGTGTGAAACTTCAGGTCAAGGAAAGCGTCACCTCGAGCTGTCATTCCAGCGCTCCTGAGTGGCACAGAGCCCCGCTCAAGGGAGCAAGGAGCATCTAAACGGCCTTTCCTGCCGGGCATGCGTGCTCGGAAATACGCGCCGCCTCGACCGCCACTACACAGGCCAAAGCAACAGCGTATTTGAGCGCTTCTGCAGGGTTTTGCGACCGCACGGATTTGTGGCCGGGTCCGGTTGCTGTGGCAACGCGGAGGAAACGGGGCGCGAGAAGCGCGCGCGCTGGCTGAGCGCGTGTGCACGTGCGTCGGGGCTCGCTCTGGACCTGCGGCGCGCGGAAGGGCCGGCAGGCGGGGAACGGCTGGCGCTGCTCGGGAAGAGTCGCTGCGCAGCTGCCCTGCCTTCCCTTCAGAGGCGGCTGTGCTGGAGTCTCTCGTTGCATGTTATCAGGGTCCAGCGACGACTTCGAAGTATGACCTCCTTGTACTTCATCCTCGTCATTGCTTTATTTGGATGCCGCTTTCCCACGAAATTGTGTACAAAGCGGTGCGCAAGTGTAAGCAATGAATGCTAGCAAACTTGATTTGCAATAATATAATCACTCATAACCTTCCTGTGATTTCTTGTTGCTGCTGCCTTTTTCTTACAGGAGACAATCTATTAAGGATGCAGCCCTACTTGTATTTAGACAGGAAAAAAATGCACTGCAACTCCCAGGTCCCACCTGTAGGATTTTTTCCCATTTCAAGAGGAAAAGGGTCCAGAGGAGGGCAAGAAAAAGTATCCAGGGTGTATCCTCACACTGCCCTATGAGGAGAGGCTGAGAGAACTGGACATGCTCAGCCTTGAGAAGAGAAGATTGAAGGGGAACATGACATGAGAGGAAGGTCAAGATCTTGATGATTCCTGAGTGCAGAACATGGAATAATAAACTAGAGTTGTGACAACCCAGATTCAGGCTAGATTTCAGGAAAAGTTTCCTTGCTGCCAGAGCAATGCAACAGTGGAGCCAGCTGCCTAGAGAGGTGGTGGGCTCTCCCACACTGGAGACATTCAGAAAGAAACTGGACAGCCACCTGAGTGGGAGGGTGTAAACTGGTGTCCTGCAACAGCAGGAGGTTGGACCCAATGGCCTTCTTGGCCCCTTCCAACACTACTATTCTACGTTTCTAAATAAAAAGGATTGTGCCATAAAGAGAAAAAGATGGTATTCCTGCAGGGTGCCTCCTGTTTGGTAGTGCAAGGAGCCCTCCATCTAAAAGCACTTTTCATATGAAGAAGATGGATGGGGAAAGTTATTAAAAAGTATGGGACAATTGTGAAGATGTCAAATGGAACACCCCAATTAACGCCCCAAAATTCAGTCTTGGAATTGAACAAGGTGATTGCATGAGAAAAAAGGGGGAACAAGGTGATTGCATGAGAAAAAAACAAAAAATCTAGACACCCTAGCACTTTCCTCTTCCGGAATGATATGAAAACATTTTGCTCAAAGTAGGGTTCTCTGCACCAGAAAATTCACTTTCTATACTGTACATTCAGTATAGGATAGTCTAAAGTGATGCTAAAACCATATTTAACAGTGTATATTGCTTTATTGTTACAATATAACCTACTAATCTTTATTAGAATAAAGCCAAAGAGTTGTACTGCTTCTTTTTAAAATAAGTCATATAATATCCAAAACACCCAAAATATTTTTCGTCTGAGATGCACACCCATGAATGGACTTAAGTTAAAAGAAACCAGATTTAGATTAGACCTCAGGAAGAATTTCCACACTGTCAGAGCAGAACGAAAATGGAACCTATTACTTGGGCTCTCCCTCACTAGAGACATTCAGAAAGTGTCTGGACAGTCATCTGAATGGCATGATGTAACTTAGTGTCCTGCAATAGCAGGGGGTTGGACTTGATGGCCCTTCCAACTCTACTTGTCTGTGATTCTATGAACAATCTACAGATTTTCAGAACCAGTGATTAAATTTGTTATGAATCTTCCTATGTAAACTCTATATAGGTTTTGCTCTTTCTGGTATTACAGATACTGGTTTGGAGTGCTGTGCAGAATGGAAGACAGCATACAAATTACAGGTGCTTCTTGGATAATAACTGTAATATTGGTTATATACAACATGATTCCACTACCACCATGCTTGCCAGTTTTAGACTACTTTTGCTTTGAGGAATGTTTAAATGGCCTCTGGATTCCTCCTGCCCCAAGTCCTAAAAGCAGCTGAAGTCCCTTCTACTTCTGCTTTTCCCATTTCATGGATATTTGCTTGACTGTCAATGTAAAGGTTTTCAGAAGGTGTGCCTAGAAGGGAAATAGCAGCATGGCTATTTTGTTCTTCCTAAGCCCGCCTGAAGTAAGTATTTTATCTTTTCACCTGTGAAAACAGTACCTACCAACTGTTACACAAGACATGGATATCATGCCAAAAGGGTGTCTCAACTATTATTTTAGAGGGCAGGTTTAGGTTTTTGCTGCCTGGAAAGGCCTCCAAAAATGATATCCTGAAATAATTCTAGTTACCAAACATTTAGCAATCTAACAGATTTTGTAAGCACTACAGATTGTCCTTCATTGTCCTTGAAAAACATGAAATGCCCCTTTGTTGCTGGAAATAGATGTGTCAACAAATTCAGTTTAGGCTGACAGTACTTCACTGGCTTCAGTGCAATGAGTTTGTTTCCTTCCACAGTGATAAAAGCCGTTGTCAAGGTTAATTCTTTGACAGCCCCAGTGCAGAAAGGGCAATGACTGAGTGCATAAAGTATGAACTTCCTTCTCTAGGTCAGGCCTAACGGAGTAACTTGGAAGTGCTTGCATTAGTGCTGCAATAGACATCTGCAGGCGGAACGAGAGACATGCAGGTGGAACAGGACTAAAAATGAGCAGAGTGGTCATTCCAAGGGGATGCTGTTGAGCAGACCTGTCCACAACCAGAGAGGGGGCTGGCCCACGCAGGAAGCAGGGCGAAGCACCTGTTTTGGGTGGTGAGCGGGAGGTGTGGCTCATTGTGCTGCTCTCCTCCCGCCCCTGCATGCAGGGATCCCTCCTTAAACAAACAGAAGTAGACTTCTGCATGCAAAGGCTGGTGTAGCATTATTGGCATGGAAACTTGGAGTAGCAGCTTGCTGTTCTGAATTTCAAACCCTACTTCTGGTTTTGAAAAAATATTTTAAGAAAGTAGTGGTCATAGTTTTTAACCACTAATAGAACAGTGACTTTGTGTAGCATTCCAATGCCGAACACATTCACTGAACGTTCCCTACACTTGAAAGACTGTTTCTTATTAACATGAAATGCTAGTAGCTTAGCAAACCATCTGCAAGAGCTGATGACTTGACAGCAGTTAATTCCA